CTTTCATGCACCCCTGGAATACCGGAGGGCACCCCGACACCGTGACAGGTAGCAGGGCTTGGCAGCCAGCGGGGCAGCACCCACTGGGTCACCCTGAGGGGTTTAGGGGCTGCACCCACACGGTGCCCCTGGCAGAGGGGTGACACAGCTGGGTGTAGCCCTTCACACCCTTGCAGGCGACATCTCCACATCCCTCCGGCACCTCCGCTCCCCTCCCGGCACCTCCGGCACCTCCAGCACCCGATAAGAGGCTCAAAGTCCAGCTGTGCCAGCTGCCTGGCTGGGCAGGGCGGGTGAGGTGGCCAGGGGAGGGCATCTGCAGCCCGGGCACACCCTACAGGCAGCACCTCCCCTTCCCCAGCCTGCCTGGGGGCCACAGCAGCCAGGGCAGCACAGGAGGGCGGTGGCACATCAAAACCTGGGAGTCCAGCAGGAGGGTGAAGGCTGAAGGCTCTGGATTAACCTTTAATGTCACACAGGGTCTGGGGGTCTGTGCCCACGGCAGAGCTTGGGGATGAGGGACCCATGTCAGGGCACTCCTGCGGGGGGGGCTCTTCACCCCAGGCAGGTTCCTGGCACAGCCATGGTGGGCAGGGGTGGGCGCTGCCATGGGTGCAGCGGTGCTCTGGGAGGCACAGGGTGGCTCAGAGGTGGCTGCTGGCCTCGCCCTTGGCGGGCAGCCCATTGAGGGGGCCCAGCCCCGGCCGGTTGCTCTCGTTCAGCCGCCGCACGCGGTAACTCTCGTAGTGGACGTTGTGGGTGATGTCCTTCAGGTCCTGCAGGTGTGACCTGCCCGGGGTGGCACGGGGAGGAAGGGCATCATGTCACTGTCCCCCCCACCCTGCTGTCACCCCGGGGGGTTCCAGCACTCCCAGCCCTGTTCCCGCTCACCGGATCAGCAGGTCCTGCAGCAGGGGGAACTCGCAGTGGGCTGGGTTCTCCACTGCAAGGCAAGGCAGAGGGGCAGCGTTGGCAGGAGGGCTCGGTGGCACTGGGATGCCCGGGCAGAGCATCCTGGCACGCTCTGGGTGCCACCAGAGCCCAGCATAGCTCTGTGCCACCTGCCATGGCCTGGCACCCCCCCAGGCAAGGACACACAGTGGGTGCAGGGCCTGGGGGTGAGGGGCTCTGCTCACCTTCGATGATGCCCCACTTGGTCTTGCGGCCCAGCACCCGCTTGCCGTTCACCTGGTGCTCCTGGTCTGCCCCCACCACGGCGAAGGGAATCTTCTCCTGCCAGCAGAGGCTGTGCTCGTCCTTGGTGTCCTCTGGAGTCCCCAGGGTCCCTGTCCCCCACCCTGCCCCCCAGGATGGCCCCTCCATCCCAGCAGCCCGGCACTCACACGAATCCTGTTGTTGAGTGCCCTGTCCTCGGGGTCCTGGTCGAAGTCCTCCTGCGGGTACACGCTGATGGCGTGGGTCCTCAGGTCCTCCTGGATCTGGGGGACACAGGGCTTGAGCCAGGCTGGGGAGGACATGGGGCAGCCCAGGAGCCCCCTGGGGATCTGTCCTCACCCTCTGCTTGAATTCTGCCCGTTCCTCCAGGGTGAGCGTGTCAGCCTTGGCGATCACCGGCACCACGTTGACGATCTTGCTGAGCCGCCGCATGAACTCCAGGTCCAGCGGGCGCAGCCTGGCAAGGGCCAGCGTCACTCTGGGCTGTCCCCACCTCTGCCACTGTGGGGTGGCCCCACCACTACCATGGCAGGTCACTCTGAGGTGACCCCAGCACTGTCACCCTGAGGGACCTTCCCCACTGCCTCCCCAGGTTGTTACCCTGTATCTGTCACCCTGGGGTGACCCCACCATCATCATCCCAGGGTGACACAACCACCCCACAGTGACTACCCTGCCACTGTCACCATGGGGTGACCACACCACGACCACTCCAGAGTGACCCTGAGGTGCCACCATCACCTCAGGGTGGGGTTATCACCCCAGACACCACCACCATCACCTCAGGGTGGGGTTATCACCCCAGATTCCACCACCATCACCTCAGGGTGGGGTTATCACCCCAGGCTCCACCACCATCACCTCAGGGTGGGGTTATCACCCCAGACACCACCACCATCACCTCAGGGTGGGGTTATCACCCCAGACTCCACCACCACAACCTCAGGGTGGGGTTATCACCCCAGACTCCACCACCACCACCTCAGGGTGACCCCACCACCGTCATCCCAGGGTGGCACAACCACCCCGTGGTGACCCCATCACCTGTGGGTGCTGGGACTGGGGGCCACTCACCAGTGACCTGTGGGGGGCACAAAGTAGACACATCCATGGACACGGGTGTCTGGGATCTTCCTCTTGCGGGTGATGAGGATCTCCTCCCGCAGGTACCTCTCGTACTGCTCGTTGATGTATTTGATGATGGGGTCCCAGCTGAGGATGAGGAGTTGAGGGACGGCCCCTGAGCTCAACCCCCACCCCAAACGGCCACCCACGGAGCTGGGCTCCTGCTCCCCATTGTTTCCTACCAGTTGTCGTTGTTGATCTGGTCCCCAAAGCCTGGCGTGTCGGTCACCGTCAGCTTCATCTTCACCCCCTTCTCCTGGATGACTGTGGGGCACAGGTGGGTCAGGGGGGAGGGAACATTGGGGAAAAGCAGGGGAGCAGGCATGGGGGATGGTTTGAGGCTGTGAACGCAGCTTCAGACCCCAGCCCAGCCCCCTGCTTCTCCCAGGGGCTGGTGGGACACGAGCCCGTGGCGGTGACCGTGGTGGTGACCTTACTGTGGGTGATGGACTGCAGCTGCACAGTTTTGGGAATGCGTTCCTCCTGGCCGGGCTGCGAGGATTTGCGGCTCACCTTGGACTTGAAGAGGGTGTTCACCATCGTGGACTTCCCCAGCCCGCTCTGCCCTGAGGGGACACCGGCACCTCTGGTTTGTCACCCAGGGCAGTAACATCTTGATATCCACTTGGGAGCTGCCCAGAGTTTGGGATAACTCTGCTTTATCCCCAAATAAATTTCTTCCCCAAGGCAATAACCCCTTGGTATCCACTTGGGAGCATCCCAGAGGTTGGGACAGTCCATTTTATCCCAAGAATAAATTTGTTCCCAGGGTAACAACCCCTGGTACACATCTGGGGGCATCCCAGATTGGGTTAGTCTGGTTTATCTTCCAAACAAATTCATTTCCCAAGGCGACAGCCCCTCAAAATCCATTTGGGAGCATCTCAGAAGCTGGGATGAGCTCACCTACCAGCATTACTATGCTATGCGGTATGGGATATTACTCATTTTCGATTGTTTGCTACTTAAATCAGTTAAATTTCCTTAGAATCCCTTAAAAGCATTTCTCCTGGCATGATGGAATCAGAGCCAGTATTCCCACCCAGGAGCAAACCCCACGCCCGGCGCTCACCCACAACCATGATGTTGAACTCAAAGCCTGTCTTCATGGTTTTGATTTTCATCTGGTCGAGCACAGCTTCGATTCCCACGTATCCGAAGAGCTGGCAGCCCACGGGGCCGGGCGCCATGGAGAGGGGCACCGCCCCCTCTTCCTCCTCCTCCTCCTCCTCCTCCTCCGGCACGGCCGGCGGCTCCAT